ACGTTTAAAAATGGTGAACGTTGCATTCTTTCATCACATATAAAGTCACCTGTCCTTGTATCAGGAGGTAGCAACTGTGTCTGTCCTAAATCTATGTTTTTTTCTGTTCTTTTGTCCTTGATTCTGCTTCCTTATCCTTTATCTGTTATTGATCTTTCTTCCAGTCTGCTTCATTGCTGAATCAGTATTTATCAATTGACTTTTTTTCTCTTCCCTCTTCTTCCTTGATGCCTCCTCTTTTTAAAGTATTTATTTTTATTTTATTTTTATTTTTAAGTCAGAGACCACATTTGTTTGCTTCTGTTCTCTCTGGTTTAGTAATCAGAGCCCAGGATTATACACTTCCCTCTGAGGACCACAACAGTCATATCCTGTTGATTTCAATAAGTGGGTATTTCACTTAGGTTTTAGAGATACTTGATCATTTAAATGTTTTTTCTCTTTGAGATTTTGGAGATTTCTGATTTCCGGTTGGAAGTGGAGTATCTGTCCCTGGATTTATGAATTTCAGTTATAGGTCATCAGTGCAGCCTGAGCTGCTGCAATTGTCCAAACAGTATAGAATGTTCCTGTTCTCGCTGAAATGGAGCCACTTTGTCATTCTTCACAAGTACTTGAGGGACATTTGGGTGTGGAGCTGTGAGGTCTTTGTTCCCACCTGACCACATTTAGGGTTTTAATTTGTTTGACATCAAGAGAGCAGTTCACCTCCCTTCTGTGTTTGTTGTTCTCTGAGTGTTCCCCGGGCTCCTACTTACTTGTTTGTACACTGGGTTGTCAGCACATGAAACTTGGGTCAGTGGGGCTTTGTGAGTCAAGCCCAACCCCTGCAAAAAGCCATCACCTCTATTCCAGTGAGCAGTTGCCTCTAAAAAGTCAGACTTTTAGCCTTGGCTGGCGTTTCTCAGTCATTAGAGCACTGACCTGCTCACCAAAGGGTTGTGGGTTTGATTCCTGGTCAAGGGCACATACCTACATTGCTGGTTCCATCCCTGTCCCCTGTTGGGGCGCATTCAGGAGGCAACCAATCAATGTGTCTCTCTCACATCAGTGTTTCTCTCCCTCCCTCCCTCCCTCCCCTTCCTTTCCTCCCTTCCACTCTTTCTAAAAATCAATGGAAAAAAATATTCTTGGGTGATGATTTAAAAAAAAAAACAGTCAGACTTTTAGATGAATACTACAACTCCACCTTTTGGTTTCATGCTTTGGTCCATCTTTGTGCAGCTGATTCTCTCTCATCTTTGGATCTGGCTTGTTTCAGAATGTCTTCTGTAGGTGCTGTGGCTTTAGTTTTCAAGAAATTAATTGTGAGGCTTACATTTTCAGCCCTTCCTCACACTTTCAGGTTTGGTTTTTCTCTCTTTCAACCTCCTCTTGTAAGTGCATATATATGTCTGGCATGTGTTTTCTAGAATTGGTTTTGAAAGGTCCGTGCTGGTTTGCAGCTCACTGGTAGTCATTTTCATGGCTTTAAAGAACATGTTGAAACCTCCCATTTCTGGCTTTTCACCCATAGAAATTAAGTTACATGTCCCTCCTGAAGGAAAGTGGAGGAATGAGCCTCTGCATCTTCTCCCCACACTGGTATCCCATATAACAGCAGTTGCCAACCGGTGGTCCGCGGACCACTGGTGGTCTGTGAGGTCCGAAAAGTTGGCGACCGCTGCTATATAATAAAAGCCTAATATGCTAAGTGCCCAACCTACCGTTAGACCTGTTGCTATGATGCACACTGACCACCAGGGGGCAGACGCTCCAACCAGTATGTTAGCTTGCTGCTGGGGTCCGGCTGATCAGGACTGGGCAAGATGGGCTGGACATGCCCTGGGGCCCTCCTGCAGTCCCTCCCTGGCCCCAATCGTGCTGGTGGGGTCCCTTGCTCTGGCCTGTGCCCTTTCTCAATGCAGGGCCCCTCAGGGATGTCAGAGAGCCGGTTTCAGCCCGATCCCAGCAGTCTAGGCTGAGGACTCCAATGGTGCACAAATCCATGCACCGGGTCTCTAGTTTAGTATAAATAAATCAACACTTTTTAAAAAAATATATTTTATTGATTTTTTACAGAGAGGAAGGGAGAGGAATAGAGAACTAGAAACATTGATGAGAGAGAAACATCGATCGGCTGCCGCCTGCCCACTCCCTACTGGGGATGTGCCCGCAACCAAGGTACATGCCCTTGACCGGAATCAAACCTGGGATCCTTGAGTCCGCAGGCTGACGCTCTATCCACTGAGCCAAACTGGTTAGGGCAAATCAACACTTTTTAAAAATATTGTTTTCTCTTCATTAATGAGTTATATATATTTGTATCCTGCTCAGAAACACATGTCCTTGTATCGACTCTGCTGCTTATTATGAGACCTTAAGCAAATGACTAATCTTCTTTGTGCCTCAGTTTCTCATCTGTCAAATTGGGATATTAGCAGCCACTGCAAGGATCCTGTGGGATAAACCATGAGAACTGTCCAGAGCAGTGTGGCACCTGAAGGCTCCTGGTCCAGTCTTGTTGATTTGATGGTGTCTTCACTTCAGGGCTAATGGGATGGGATTACCTTCCCCAGCCCCACTCATCACATCCTCCTGATTCCCACATTCATGTTTGGCCCCTCCCAGTCTGGAATGTGTCTTAAGGGATGATTTCTAGCAAAGGAACATGGTGATGTTTGCCTTGCACAGGACAGTTGGGAGTAGAATTCTTCAGCCACCTGCCTTCCCACCTCCACCTCCTCCTGTATCTTTGTCTGCCCGTGACGTTCAGTGAATGCACATGTTCATCTTAACCTTCTGTGCTTTTTCATTCATTTTGGGGGGTTGCCAGTGAGCCCTTATGGTCTCCAGCTTAGAAATGCTTGGCCAACTATGTCTTTCACTCTAGTTTTGGGGTGATATGCATGTTATAGAAAGAATTTCCTGATTAGAGGAAGGGAGAAATCCAATGTCTCATGTGAACCAATCAGGTGCAAACCTCTCAGTAACACACTTGGAAGTAGTAGTATACTTCTGCAGGAATAACTCAGTTTGTGTTTTTAATATATATTTTTACTGATTTCAGAGAGGAAGGGAGAGGGAGCGGAAGATAGAAACATCAATGATGAGAGAGAATCATTGATCGGCTGCCTCCTGCACGCCCCCTACTGGGGGTCAAGCCCACAACCCAGGCATGTGCCCTGACCTGGTTCATAGGTCACTGAGCTACACTGGCCGGGCTAGTATGTTTTAGTTAGAATACAAATAAGAGATGGGTTATTAAAATGCATAATTGGGGGTGGGGGGCTAATAACTATTAATGGAAGTAGTGAGGGTGGGAGGGTCTGTCCCTATTTTTGTCATTTATAGAAGAGGATATGGGGACTGGGACTTTTTCCAGAAAGGGCAGAGCAGCACCCTGTTGTCTCTGCCAGGCACTTGTGGGGCCCATGTCTTCACCACTGCCAGGCCTTAAGGAGTAGGAGCTGCTCCATAGGGTGAGGGGCCAACAGGCAAGTGCACATAGAGGGAAACTGAGGCTCCAGGGTTGCTGGCACTTTACCCAAGGTCACCCCTGCCTCACTGGCTGCTCTGCTCTCCTTCCCAGAGCCCAAGTGGGAGTCTAGGACCTTTTGGTATAGATACCTCAAACCTGGCAGACCACAGAATGGATTCCTGGAGACCAGAGGAGCCCCTTACTAGTCCCCCACCTGCTGAGGCAGCCCATCAGCTTCCAGCCCCACCCCCAATGTAATCATGTTGGAAATTTTTTATTAGGAAACAAAATTGAATTGGGGTGTATGAATATTCATTAGGATGGGAGATTAATATGCATAATCATGAAAATTAGACAGCAATTAAACACCAGTTCTCTGGGGGAAGTGATTAACACAATGCCACCGAAATAGAAGGATATAATTTGAAGGAAGCGGGAGGGCAGGAGGTGGGATGCAGGATTTGGAATGGAGTGCATGAGAAACTTCAACATGTGGGATTGGAGTAGATTGGGAGTGGGGTTGTGCTGGTACAGGTGGTTCCCTCCCGTGTCCCCCTCCCCCCTTCCCTAATTCTGCCAAGTGGACTTATTCATTATACCATTTACAGAGGAGGGGAACTGAGGCACAGAGACGGAGGGGCCTGGGACTGCTCCCCTTCTACTTGTCCAGGACATATGTCCTGATCCCTGAGGGATGGGGAAGGATGCAGGCCTAGGCTTCTCGCCCCGTGGGGAAGATTCTGAGTCCTGGGTGGGTGCCTAGTGCCTAGGAGAGTGTCCGGGAAGATAAGGGCCCCACCCTGCCCTGCCCCTTGAGACTAAGGTCCTCTCCCCACTCTCGTTAACCCGGGCTACACCTTGGACCTCTGGCCTCCCAGCCTGGCAGGCAAGTGGCAGGAGCCTCTGTGGTTTGGTCCTAACGGGGATTGGGTTCTACCCCAGAAGGACTGCCAGTCTGCTTAGTGGGTAGTCAGTGACAGCTGCTGCTATTTCAACAAAGGGATGGCCCACCTCCTGAATTAGCAGGGATGGGCAAGGGGAGATTCACACTTTCCCAAGATTCAAGCTAATTACTCATGATCCATTTGCTTATGCCTTTGTGAGCCTTTCTCACATGGTCAAGAGAGACTGAGCCTGACACAGAAGCCCCAGCCAGTGTGATCAGGGCTGGGGGAAGGATACTCAGTGTGAGTGAGGGCTCTGCCCAGGGTAGGCATGGTATATAGAGTTTTGATGAATGGGTAGGAGTTTACCAGCAGTGACAGCTGGTGGAATTGTTTATTGAGCTGCAGACCTGGGAATATGCCAAGTGCCAGGGTGTCTTGGGCACTTTACCACTGACAGTGGTTTCAGTACAGGCAGAACTAGAGTTGGGTGAGGTTGGATCGGCTACAGGGCTAGTCTGGATTGGGATGGGCCCAGAAGGCATGCCAAATCGAATGAGGGCTCCTCTCCCCTGAGGTGATGAGGAAAAGAGCTAGAACTGACTTCAGAGTGGGCCAGGAGTAAGGGTGACCCTCTCTCTCTTCCTGTCCTGCAGGTCTGGAGGACCGGCCCAGCTCAGGCTCTTGGGGCACTGGCGACCAGAACAGCTCCTCCTTCGACCCCAGCCGGGTGAGGAGCTACTGCCGGGCCTGAGACCCTCAGTTCCCTTCTCCAGGAGAGAGGGACATAAGAGGAAACTGAGGCTTAGAGCGGGAAGTTGGACACCAACCTAGTCTGCAGGGACTTTGGGCTTAGATATGTGGGTTAAAGTCATGACTCGGGTACTTAAAAGCATGCCTGCCTCCCAAGCCTGTTTCCCTAGCTGTAAAATGTTGTGCCCCAACACCCCTCATCCCCTCCTCTCTCTCTGCAGACCTACGGTGAAAGTGCCCACTTCAGTGAGTCCCATGGCAGCCTCTCTTCATCTACATTCCTGGGAGCGGGACTTGGAGGTGAGTGTCTTTGGAGCACAGCCCTTCCCCCACACCCACATGGGGTCCCTGGGGTGTGGTCAGAGCACTCAGTAGCAACACTTCTGGGACGTTCACCTGGAGCAGAGGGTGCAGGTGGATGTGGCCTAGACATAGAGCTTTCCCCCTGGGTCAGTGGGCCTGACCAAGTCCCCACCAGGAAGTGGACTTGGGCATCCTGGTGACTCAGAAGATCGGAGCCTGCTCTTACTGACCATGAGAATTGGCTCAACAGGCCTGTGCTCAGTTCCACTCACTAGGCTTGGTTGAGGCTGTCTCCTCTTTAGACTTGGCTTCCCCACCCATAGGATAGGGATGTTCACAGAACCTTCCTCATAGGGATTATGAGGCTTTGCCCAACATTCCAGGTCCATGGGCGCACACACACACACACACACACACACACACCCGTCTCCTTCTCTTGCAGATAAGCACATAGGACTAGCAAGAAGGGACCTGTCCAGGGTCTGTGGCTGGTCATGGCTGGCAAGGATTCTGTCCACTGGGACTGTTGGCCTGGACTGTTGTCCTCTGTGCCATCCTTCCCACCAGGGGACCATCCAGGTGCCTTGCTGAGCCCTGGCACCCCCTTTCCTGTTCTGAGGAAGCCTTGGGATGACTGTAAAGCTGGCTTCTCTGGGAGGGTTGGGTGCTGTTGCCCTGGGTCAGCTCCCAACTCAGCCTGGGCTATAAGTGGGGTTTTGGTTCACTGCCTAAGAGATCCTAAGACAGCATCTTTCATACAAAAGTTGGGTGGGATCTGCTTATCTCGGCGCCACTGTTAGCAGTTTATAGTCTAAGGTGGCGCTGGGGGAGTAAATGTGTGGACTGTGGAACCTTTGATGTGACTGACCATTTGGTGGGGAAACTGAACCCAAAGGCACTTGTACGAACCCTGAGGGGACAGCACTTGCTAGACCCCAAAGGTCCCGTGTCCCTTACTGAGCCTGAGAGGGTGCACAGTAGGGTTGGACAGGCGAGTGTGGCCTGAGAAGAATCGTGGCAGGGGCAGCATCCTTGCACTCTCTTTGCAGCAAGAGTCTGCACCCATTTCCCAGACCAGGAAGTAAGGCCCAGCCCACGTGGCCCAGGGTAGCCTCTGCACCTGCAGCTGTTCCCCTCTGGTGTTCCTTCCGCCTCTTCCTGGCCCAAGCAGTTCCCACGCTGAGCCTGGTCAGCAGAACCCAGAGGCAGCTGTGTCCCAGGTCCACCACATGTCCTGTGTTCAGTGAGTGCAGCATAAAGCTCAGGTCGAGCCCAGTGGGGAGGTGGGTGCAGCCTTGGCATCCCTGGACCTGTTTCTCACCCCTGGACTAGGCTTGATGGGGCTAGTGTGGCTCACAGGCCTGGTGACAGCCATTGTGGGTGGTGGGGCCCTGCTCCCGCTCCCCAAGGGGTGGGTTTAGTCTGTTCTTACATGGCCTCCAGCCCAGTCTGGCCCCTGATGAGACCGTGGTGGTTTTATTCTCTGCTGTTTGTCCTTTTCCTACCCTTATGCCCTGATATGCAGTTCCAGCACATAGATTAGGTGCCTGATGTATGCCCATGGGTCTTCTCCCAGAGCCTCAGCTTCTCCTTGCCTCTGTCACCCCACCTCTTTGGAAACCTACATTTGGCACCTGTTCTGTGCAGAGCCTAAACAGTGGCAGCCCCGACTAGCAGGGAAAGTCAAAGGTCTGGGAGGTGAAGCTGCTTCCCCAGGCAGAACCCAAAACCCTGACTGGGCCTGCCAGCTTTGCTCCCACACCCACCCTGAGAGGAAGGAAGCAATAATGTGCCCCCTCACCCCTGCATTGTGGGTGGGCCTCCTCTAATCTCCAGGTCAGGGTTTGCTTATCCCTAAGATGACCCAAGGTCACCTGCCCTGAGGGGTCACTGGATGTGTAGTAGGAGCATGACACCCCCCCCCCCCCCCCCGCCACAGCATCCTTTGCTCTAGTCAAAATCCTACTTTTAAAGAAAATGAGATGTATTTTTTTTTCCCCTACTAGGGGAGAATAATTCAAATTAGCTAGCTGAGCATTCTAATTCCTCACTCATGCTGAGTTTGGCACCCAGGTTAAGCCAAAAACAAATTTAAGGTGTCAGCTATTGATTGATTCAGATACCTGCTTCAGGCAAGGATGGATCCAAGCCTCTGTGCAGTGGCAAGAGTTTGTCCACACTGGTGGCTATCAGGCAGACAGTGTCCCCACAGCCCAAGGTGTCACTTGCCTACACAGGAGAAGGGCTCTTTCTCACCAAATTACTTCAATCAACGTTCCCAGGACATCATGAACTAACCCCTGGCAGGGCCTGGGCACTAAACCTCACAGACTCAAAGCACTACTACCACCACCCCCAACCCCAGCCTGCCCCTGGGATCCCAGCACCCTGGGGAGTTTTATTCTCAATACCTTGAACAAAGGAAATAAGATTCAGAGGTCAGGGGCTTCTGACCTCGGCACTGACCCACCTCAGAGACTTGGTGTGTGTGGTAGACTTGCATGAGCCCCTCTGGGTCATCAGGAAAGGAATGGTGTCTATCCAGATCCCTGCTTGTCTGCCAGGCCATGGGAAGACCAGAATCCCACCTTGGTTCTCTCAGTGATGTGCACGTGTGGAACCACTGCTGTGTGCAGGCATGTGCGGGTGCTGGGGACGTGACCTCCCTGGGGTTGGCTCTGAGTGACCCTTTTTCCTCCCCTCCAGGCAAGGGTGGCGAGCGGAGCACATATACTGCCTTCGGGAGAGATGCAAGTGTTGGGGGCTTGACTCAGGTGAGGTCGTGTCTGTAGGGTGGGGGCTGCTGGAGCCCATTGGCTGCAGAACCCAGAGAATTGGATGGGTGGGACCCCAATTTTCAGACTAAAGTGGCATCGTAGATGGGCAGGGACTGCCAGAGAGGGAGGGAAGCTAGTGGAGGCTACAGTCACTGCTCCACCCACCCCTTTCCCACCCATCTTTTAAAATTTTAAACAGATTGGTAGTAATTTCCTCCCCTGATCTGCAGAAGGGCCCCTCCCCTGACTGAACCAACTGCTGGTCATTTTTTCAGCAGCTAAAATAGGAGTGGGCCCTGGGGCAGGCTGAGCTGGCCAGAGTGGATGAATGGAGGGGGAGGCAGAGGAACCCACAGCCCTATGGCTCCCCAAAGACACCAGGCCAGCCTAGCAGCCTTGGGGTATTGCCCTTTATTCCTCCCAGGGAGCCAACCCCACAAGCCCCCAGCCCTGGGCGAAACTCATGCCCACCCCAGCTGTGAGGCTGACAGCACTGGCTGGCCACAGTGGTCCCTTGTGGCTTTCTGTCCAGGTCACCCCACACACACCTGAGGGTTTCATTCCTGCCCCCTCCTGTGCCTTCTGAATCTGAGTGCAGCCATGCCTTATCCCAGGTGGCAACTCTTGTGTGCACGCCAAGCCTGTTCCAAGGTGGCAGCAACCCTGGCTTTTGAGCACCAACTGGGTACCAGGCCCTGTGCCAAGGGCAGAGCTCATAAGGCCCCCATTGATCTCCACGACTCCCCCTGAGCCAATATGCCCATTTTACGGATGGGAAATACCAGACATAGAGCAGCCACTCAGATGGAGCCCCAAGAGAAGAAAACTCATTTTAAACTAATCACGCAAAGTTAAACTGTCTACCTTTAAAGAAAAGAAAACAAGACAAGCACAAACTAAATCAGCCAGATTTCACTGATGCCCAGGCGCACGTCTGCACATTCTGCATCCCAGAATGCAGTTCCTTTTCAGACTTGCTGGCAGTTGTTTTTCTTAAAAGTGATGCTGAGGTGTCAGGAGAGAAATGTCTCAAGCAGGGGTCATTGTCACCCCCTGGACAGCCAGGCTGGGTGCTGGATGCCAGCCTAGCCCCTGGTGATGACCTCCACCCCCCCTTCCCAGGCTGGCTTCCTGCCCAGTGAGCTGGCCCTCAGCAGCCCCGGGCCACTGTCCCCCTCAGGCGTCAAGAGTGGATCCCAATATTACTCTTCCTACCCCAGCCATGCTCGGCGGAGAGCTGCGGACAGCAGCCTTGGTAAGTGGGGTGGGGGCAGGGAGGGGATCTGTCCCCACTGTGGGCCTCCCAGACCAGGAGATCAGACGGGTAGAAGGATGGATAGTGACCCAAGAAAGAAACAGTGGATTCTTGTTATTTACAGAGGTTCTGTCTTACCGAATCACCGTGAACACTGATTCCCTGTTTCTGGGGAAATGCGAGGATATGTTCCTGTCAGTCTCTGGTCAACAGATCAACACATAGCCTTGTGCCACGTGTATTTTTGGCTAAAGGCACCTTATTTCACATAAATCATTGATTCATTAACACGGAACTGGCCAGCGGTGCTGTAACTCAAGCCTGAATGTAGCTGATCTAACACATATTTTTCTTTTAAACATTTTTATTGATTTCAGAGAGGAAGGGAGAGGGAGGGAGAGAGAGAAACATTACTGACAAGAGAGAGTCATTGCTAGGCTACCCTCTACACGCCCCACACTGGGGATCGAGCCCCCAACCCAAGTATATGCCCTGGCCGGGAATCAAACCGTGGCCTCCTGGTTCATAGGTCAGTGCTCAACCACTGGCTGGGCTAACACACTTTTCATGTCCCAGTTTTTGCACTCAGAGACACTAGCCAGCACCAGGACACCACACATGCATGGGGAGTGTTTTAAGCAGCAAAACCAACCACAAAAAGCATGTAAGTCAGGGCTCTCAATAGCCTAAGAAAAGGACCCTGGTTTGTAGTCTGAGGTAGAACTGGAATACAGAACACCACCTGGTTCCCCCTCATTGGGTACATGCCAGGTAGCCACCCATATTTCCCCACTCTGCATGGCTGTGAGTGACCCTAACACACTGTATGATTTGAGGAAACCAGCTTCAGCAGATTTGCAATTCTTGGATCTGTGAATAAAGAGGATCGACTATGGGAGTTGGAGTGGGGGTGAAATGGGGGGCCTTGGAGCAAGGCCCTGGCTCAAGTACCCATTGACTCCCCACTTCTTAGACTCCCTGCTGCAGACCCCTCCCACCCATGATTCTTGCATATTAGTCCCTTGCATGTAGACCCAAGCCCTTATTTAAATTAAAAAGGAAGCTCAAGCCCTAGCTGGTTTGACTCAGTGGTTAGAAAATTGGCATGTGGACTGAAGGGTCTCAGATTTTATTCCAGTCAAGGGCATGTACCTCGGTTGCAGGCTCACTCCTCGGCTCATGTTGGGGTGCGTGTGGGAGGCAACCAGTCAATGTGTCTCACGTCGATGTTTCTGTCTCTCTTTCCCTCTCTCTTCCACTTTCTCTAAAAGTCAATGGAAAAATATCCTCAGGTGAGGATTAACAACAAAAACAAAATAAAACATGGGAAGCTCAAGGGTCTCCTCTCCAAGGTGCAGGGGTAGGTTGTCTACTGACACTCCCAATGATAGGCACACGTGTCCCTGGGCCTTGAAGGACTCTGGCTGGGTGGGGCAGGAGCCAGGCTGAATGGGGGTGGCTCACTCCTTTTACTCCTAACAGATACGCAGCCCAAGAAAGTCCGGAAGGTGCCGCCAGGTCTTCCATCCTCGGTGAGTTGTGAGATGGAGTGAAGACCCCACAGACTACATGCCTCCTGCCCTTCAGGTTTGGGGGCTGTCCCTGCTGGAGGCCACACAATGTGTCATTGGGGGCACTGGGCTGTGCATGCTGCTGCAGCCAGGAACATGTAGACCCACATGGCCTCCTGAGTGTAGGCATGTGGGTTCTGGGGCAAAACCTCCAGCTAGACTGGTCAGTCAGCTGGGCTCTTGCCCCCACGGACTCAGCTCTGACCAGAGACTACTTCCCAGGGGTTTGGGAAGTTCTTCCTGAGGTTTAGTCTTGATCCTCTTTAAGAAATCATGTCCTGTGATGTCTTAGAAAGGGTATGGATGGGGTCCTGGGAGTGGGAGCAGGTGGGGGCACCTGACAGCCAGTTAGGAGGTCTCCTCCTCTGCCCTGTCCACCCAGGTTTGAGCCACCCTGTATCCCCACCTCATTGCCTGGAGGTTGGCAGGGTGCCAGGCTCAACAGATGGTGCTGAGCCATTTGAGATTTAATCATGGGAAGAAAAAGCAATTTGTCTGTTTCCTCAGTTTGGCTCTGCACCAGCCTTCAGGAGCCCCTAGGCCCAGGGGTCAGGCAGAGCCCCCACAAGCTGACCTAGGCCAGAGGCTTGGGTGTTAGTTGACATTCGACAGCCAGGAGGTACAGTCAGGTTCAGTCTTAAGACTTGACTCCAGGTATCATTTATAATGTCATTGACTCCCCATTTTCCTCACCTAAATCCCCACTCCAATTTTCTGGAGCTGAGAGCTCCCTGGGGCCCACCTCATCCTGCCAGTACTCTGTACCCCTTTTTCTAAACTCCAGTGTTGGGGCAGACATTCCCTGTTGATCCCGGCACTTTCTCCTGGGCCCTGCCTTAGTTTTAGGCAGTGCCCAGTGACCAGAGTTGGCACTGATCCTAGAAGACCTTTGCTATCTCTCTGCCCTGGTTACTCTGGGTGGAATGTCAGTCCAGGACCCTGTCTCTCAGGCTTCTGGGTCTTGCATGTTTAGGGCTGAGGCCAAGGGAGGATCCAGCACTGGGGGAAGAAGGAAGGGCTGGGGGCATCACAGCTGGGCTTTGATCAAAGGAGTTTGCTGGATTAAGGAGGGGAGAGGAATTCTGTGCAGGAGGTTCAGCTCAGGGAAATGGGGTGGTGAGGTAGACTGCTGTCAAGTGGAGGACAGGACTGGAGAAGGGGTCAGCCAAGGGGTGGAGGGTAAGTTAGTCCTACCCCTTCTATCTGACCATGTCCACCTACCTTCCCACAGGTGTACCCACCCAGCTCAGGTGATGACTACGGCAGGGATACCACCCCCTACCCATCTGCCAAGACCCCCAGCAGCACCTACCCGGCACCCTTCTACATGGCAGGTATATGGGGACTCAACCAAGATGGCTGGGACAGGACCCAGGCCCCTCTGTCAGCTCATTTTACTATCTCCCCCTTTTTGCAGATGGCAGCCTGCACCCCTCAGCCGAGCTCTGGAGCCCCCCAGGGCAGGCGGGTTTCGGGCCCATGCTGGGTGGGAGCTCATCTCCCCTGCCCCTCCCACCAGGTGGCGGCAGCTCCGTGGGCAGTGGTAGTGGCGGTGGGTTTGGCGGCCTGCACCAGCACGAGCGCATGGTAGGCTCCTGGATATGGGGCGGGGGTGTGCATTTGGATAGAACCCTTTCTGACCCCATCTCATCCCCTCTGACCTCATCCCACCACAGGGCTACCAACTGCACAGTGCGGAGGTGAATGGTGGGCTCCCAGCTGTGTCCACTTTCTCAGCCCCCACAGCCACCTATGGCAGCGTTGCCAGCCACACTCCTCCTGTCAGTGGGGCCGAAAGTCTCATGGGTATGACCCCCTCACTCCACCCTGATGTGGCCCTTGTTATTAACAACGCCCTCCCTCTCCTGGGATCAGCTCTGGCTCCTCAGCCCCATGGTCCCATCTCTGATATTTGAAAATGGCTTGTTACCTTGAAACACTTCCCATTTAATTCCCCCTCCTGCCTTTTGTGCTATTGTTACTGTTTTTAATGATACTTATATTTTAAACTACACACACACACACACACACACACACACACACACACAAAGAAAATGGATCTTTGAGGAGTGCATTCCCCCACTTTACATTTGGGAAAACTGTAGCTCAGATTACATTTGAGAAAACTCCAGGGCCCACAGTCTTCCTGTCCCCAGAGCCTCCATGGAGGCAGGTGACGAGACATTAGGCAGAAACCAGACCAAAATCAGGGGCTGCCCAGTCCTGGGCTTGGGCATCCATGCTTAGCAGCTGAGTTTAGAAGGGAACTCCCTGTCAGTTGGGGCATCCAAGCTAAGCCCAGGTACTGGGGCACCAAGTCCCTGAGGTTGGGTCTCACCTCTGTGCACCCACAGGCTCCCGAGGGACCACAGCTGGCAGTTCTGGGGACGCCCTTGGGAAGGCGCTGGCCTCGGTGAGGCTCAGGGCAGGGGGTGGGGTGGGGTGGGTGGGGGTAGCAAGGGTGGCTGGGCTGTGACTGTGAGAGGCCAGCCTCTGACTGGCTGCCTGGTGGTCCTATCTCTCTTCATCCCCATTGCAGATCTACTCTCCGGATCACTCAAGCAATAACTTCTCGTCTAGCCCTTCGACCCCCGTGGGTTCCCCACAGGGCCTGGCAGGTCTGTACAGGGGGAGGGTAAGGAAGGAGGGGGCTCTGTCTGCTGCCTCCAATCTGGAGCAGGTGGGAAGGGGTCGACAGGCTGCATACATGAGTTAGGGAGCTAGACACACCACCTGCCTTGAAGTGTATGCTCCTATAGGCATCCAGGGAGGCTTCCAGGAGGAAACTTCTAAGCCAGGATTCTTAGGTCACAGCACAGGCAAAGGCCAGGAGGCGATACCCAGCGATTTGTGTTGGTGAGCGTAAGGGGCACATGAGACACAGTTGGGCCAGGTCAGGGGCGCCCAGAATCAGAGCAGCCGACCTGAGACTCACCTGGGTGTTTGTCCACCCAACAGATATTAGTTGGGCACCAACTGTATGCCCCATGCTTCCTCTGCCAAAGGGATCAGGTCTTCTTGTTCCCCATTCCCTGCAAGGATGTACCTGATGAGCATCAGAGACGGAGGGGGGGGGGCAAGGAGGAGTGAGAGCAGGTTTCTGAAACATCTGTGTGGCGTGGCAGGACTGGGAGGAGCTGGCCTCTAGGGCACCTACTGTGTGCCTCTGAGCCAGCGTCCTTCCCTGTGGAGGAGGAGGGATTGTTGATTCCGCATATGGGGAAACTGAGGCTGGGAGATGTGAATCTGTCTGGACCTGGCTGGACTTAAGGCCCAGAACAGCTCTGTAGAAGTGGGCGCCCCCGTGTGGCCAGCCTTAGTATCACATGTCTCAGTTTTCCCGTCCCTGCCTCCCAAATTCCTTCTTCCCTCCCTCCCTCCCTGGGTCAGGCTACACCAACATCCTGCTTCAAGTCCCCCCAACCCCCATTCATGTGTCTCCTAACCTTTCCAGGGTCATCGCAGTGGCCCCGAGCAGGAGCCCCCGGTGCCTTATCTCCCAACTATGATGGAGGTCTCCATAGCCTGGTGAGCTTCCTGCTTGTCTGGGGGGAGGATGTGCCTTTGTGGGAACACCCTGGGGAGGGGATGGAGGTGTTCGTGGACAAACACAGGATGCATGTGGAGAGCCTATTCCCAGAGCAGGGGAGGCAGCCCATGGGGGGCAGCTCAGAATGTCTGCTGTGGCCATGTTTCATGTGACTTTGAAACTGAGTTCCATAAGAGCCATTGGGTCTCATGTGACCAGCAGAATTTGCATTAGGACCTAGATGTCCTTTTGACAACAATGAACTTTGTAGTTAATATCTTGGGAATAAGGTCCAGCATTATCTCCATGGCCAGCCCAGGCTCATGTTTCAGGCCAGACCACACAGGGCTGGGTGGGGGTACTGGCAGCCAGGTCACTCACCCCCCACCCTCACAGCAGAACAAGATGGAAGACCACCTGGATGAGGCCATCCACGTGCTCCGTAGCCACGCCGTGGGTACCTCGGGTGACGTGCACGGGTTACTACCCAGCCATGGAACACTGGCCTCAGGCTTTGCCGGCCCTATCATGCCACTGGGTGGGCGGCACACCAGCTTGGTAAGTGCTGGACAGGGAGGGGCGAGGTGGGCAGTTGGTAGGAGCCTGGCCAACCCTGACTCACCCACTCCTGGTCTACAGGTTGGAGGCAGCCATTCCGAGGATGGCCTTTCGGGCAGTGGCAGCCTCATGCACAACCATGTGGCCCTCCCCAACCAGCCCAGCGCCCTCCCCGACCTCTCTCGGCCACCTGACTCCTACAGTGGTAAGTCCCAGCATCGTGCCTGGGCAGGGCAGCCAGCACCTCATAGTCATCTGTGCTCTAGCTCCTTCTATGATGCTCAGTCACTGGGCATCACTTCCTCTGGAAAACGGGTGGCAGAGAGGGTTTGTGACAGACTGCAACAGCCAGGCTGGGCTGAGTGTTTATTCTCTGCTGGGCTTGGGAATATTCTCTGCTCCGCCTCCATTTCCAGTTGAGGAAACTGAGGCACAGTGGGAACTGGGAAAGTTTTATGAGTGGAGGCCAGGCAGGTGTGGTTACTGTCAGGCACCTGGAGTCCTAGAAAGGGGGGCAGAGTCACCGCCCGTCTTCCAGAAGCAAAGTGGAGCCCAGTAGTCTTGGCATTGGCACGGGCGATGCTGTAGCCACCAGGGCCCCTGCCTTTTTATTGACTCACAGTGTAGTGAACTGAGCTCACCCAACAGGCACATATTCAGTGTCAAGTGTCTGGTGTTTCTCTAGGCTCTGGGGAATAAAACAGCAAATCCAACAGAGAAAGCCCCCCCCCCCCCCAATCCTGGGGGAGGACACAGATGAGTATCAGAAAATGGGGAGGGGATGCAGGTGGGTTGTAGGTTTTTTAATTTTGTTTTAATATTTTTTATTGATTTTTAGAGAGAGAGCGAGAGACACATAGACATGAGAGCCAATCATTGATCGGCTGCCCCCTGCATTCCCACCACCGGGGATCGAGCCCGAAACCTGGGCATGTGCTCTTGATGTGGAATTGAACCAGCAATCTTTTGGTGCATGGGACGATGCCAAACCAACTGAGCCACACCAGTCAGGGCTGGATTGTAGTTTTAAAGATAATGGGGGTAGCAGGGTTGTGACATGTGAGCAGAATCAGGGAGGAGCAAAAGCAGGGGAGGCCTAGAGCAGAGAGGGGACGGGAAGGTCATGTGGGACCTTAGGCCACACAGAAGTGTTGGGCTTTTATTCTGAGGGAGATTGGATCCCTGGAGGGCTCTGAGCAGAGGAGGGACAGGACCAGACTGGGATACCCTTTGGTGGCTTCGGGGAGGACAGGCTGGGAAAAGGCTAAGGCAGGATCTCACTCAGGTGCTCACTGGTGCCCTTTGGTGGCTGCTGCTGGGAGGACAGACTACAGGGACAACAGTGGGAGCCAGGGACCAGGGAGGAGAGTTGTGATGGTCCAGGAGGAATAGTGGGGGCAGGTGCTGGGCTTGGCCAGGGCGAAGTGGGTGGATTTTGGGTATTCTGAAGGCAGAGTCCACAGGACTTGCTGATGTGGAGGTGATGATGAGAGTTGGGTCTGGAGTTTAGAGTGAGCCTGGGTGTCATCACATATGATGGAGTTCAAAGGCAAGAGCGTAGATGGGGCGATAGGCAATGTGTAGACAAAGCAGAGCCCGGCCTGAGCGTCAGGCCAGATGGGGACAGGCAGCTGAGAGAAGTGAAGGAGGGTAGACTGTGTCAGACACCAGAGTGAGGACTCAGGCTACACTAACTAGGGGTCAGTGACCTGGGCAGGGGCAGCACCAGTGGAATGCTGGGGCGTCACTGTCCAGGGACAGGAGTGGGAGGGGGCGAGGTCTAGAGGGTTTCTTTCAAGACTGAATAGGTAATGTGTTTGAAGGTACTGGGGCCAGTAAGGGGAGGCCCTTGGTAAGCAGGACAGGTGTCCATTTGGTAGGAGGTCTTCACAGAAGAGAAGGCAGGAATGTGACAGGACTCACAAGCACCCACCAGAGATCAGGGGCCTGCATCTCATTATGGCCAGTTCCAGGATCAGTTGATGCTGGTGCTGCTGTAGCAGGGGAGATCGAGGCCCAGTGAAGGTCCAGGGATCCCCCACCAGGCAGTGGCCAATCCCTGATTTCCACCTACCCCACCCTTATATCAGCCTAATGAAAAATATACATCATGTGACACTAATGTGATGTTGGTATGTGACAAGACTGCCTAACATACCAAGCACCCTGGGAACCACCATGCAACCCAAATTATAAAAAGCAGGGTCTCTCATGCCTGCCTGGGGACCCTCCCCATCCTGTCCCACCCCCAAAGCCAGCCTGGCTTTTAGAGAAAAAGTCAATGCTTTCATGTTTAACTTTGTCACTCCATACCCTGAGTTTCACCCAGGAGGCACCTGGCAATGTTGGAACATCTGTGGTTCTCAGGACTGGGGGGTGCTCCCTTGCATTGAGTGGATGGGGGCCAAGGATACTGCTCACTACCCCACAATGCCCAGGACTGCCCCACAGAGAATGACCCAGCCTCAGTGTCCACAGTGCTGAGGGGAAACCCTAAGCTTGTGTGCGCAGATTCTTTCCCCTTCCCCTTGGCTCATCCATTGAAGAACTCTGAGCTATTTCCTGTGGTCGCCATTTTGCCATTTGCACCTCAGTGTAGTTAAGTTCAGTGTAACTGTTTCCCCAGAAACCACATATTATGTTTACATGGTTTTTGAACTTTCAAAAATCAGCATCCTGCCAATGTTCCTTTGCATCTGCTTGCTTGCTCATGCTGTCTGTGAGGTTGCCACCCTGCAAGTGGCTAAGGATGGGCCCAGGCCGACCTAGGACGATAGGTCACTTCCCACTCTGCTTCCATCAGGTGCTTTCTGGAACATGTCTCCTGGTGCACATGTGCAAGAACTTCTCAGGTGTGGTTCCAAGTGTGGAATTTCTGGGTATGCACATGTCTGTCCACCTATTCCAGACAATGCCCAATTGTTTTCCAAAGTGGCTGTACCAGTATGCTGTCAGAAGCAGTACTTAGAATTGTCAGGTCTCTATTCTGCTTAGTGTGTGTGATCTGTGTAGCTCATAGTCCTCAAAAAATTTTTTTATTATTGATGTTTTGGGGGTGGGGGGAGGAGATGGAAAAATATTGATTTGTTGTTCCACTTATAAATGCATTAATTGGTTGATTTTTGTATGTTCCCTGACTGGGGATCGAACCCAAAAGCCTTGGCATATCAGGACGACATTCTAACCAACTGAACTACCCAACCAGGGCCTCATTCGAAATTTCTTAACTTCTTGATGTGATAATGCAGGTTTCTATATAGCCACATCCGTTTCTGTGTCTGTGAAACACCTGCTCCATGCTTTGCCTGTTTCCCTGTTGAGGAATCTGTTCTTTTCCTATTGATTTGTAGGAGTCCGTTATATATTGTGGAGATCTAGCCTTTGCTGATTTATACGTGACAAGTATTTTTATCAAGATATCATAAAATATCTTATTTTCTTAGATATCCTAGTGATCTGAAATTCTCAATTATAGTACAATAGTCAAATTTATTGATTTCTTTTGGAAACAGTTCTTCAGTGCAGCTGTCGCCAACCTTTCAGACCACCAGTGGTCCGCAGACCACCAGTTGGCGACTGCTGCTTTAGTGTTTACACATTCTTTCTCTGCCCCTAGACCACATTAAAACTCCCATGCACTTCCTTCTAAAGGTTTCCTTTAATTTTGTCTGTAATTAGGTGCCTGTAGTGGTGTAAGGTAGATGGTTTGTCCCCCACTTTGCAAATGAAGGCCAGGAGAGCTCTCACCCCTCATAAGAGGACTTGCCAAGTGGCCCTGGAGGTGGCAGTACCCTAACCCTCAGCCTCTTGCAGGACTTGGTCACAGGGGCACCGCCTCAGGTACCAGTGAGATCAAGCGGGAGGAGAAGGAGGATGAGGAGAATGTGTCAGTGGCCGACAACTCAGAGGAGGAGAAGAAGGAGCTGAAGGCCCCCAGGATCCGGACCAGGTGCCAGCCCCTCCTCGGTCCCTACCCCACCTATCAGGACTCAAGCATACGCACACAGTGCTCACACCAGTGGCGTTCACACCGCGAGGCATCCGGCGGGCCCTGCGCCTGTTCCCCGTCTCACTGTCTCCCTCTGGCCCCCCGGCCTCCCCCACCCCCGTAGCCCGGAGGAGGACGAGGACGACCTTCTCCCCCCAGAGCAGAAGGCTGAGCGGGAGAAGGAGCGCCGGGTGGCCAATAACGCACGAGAGCGGCTGCGGGTCCGAGACATCAATGAGGCCTTTAAGGAGCTGGGGCGCATGTGCCAGCTGCACCTCAACAGTGAGAAGCCCCAGACCAAACTGCTCATCCTGCACCAGGCCGTGTCGGTCATCCTGAATCTGGAGCAGCAGGTGCGAGGTCAGTGGGGGCGCCGCTCCCCTCCCGTCGCCTCTGCCCGCGCTCTCTCCTTCCCCCTCCTAGAGCCCGCCTCTCCTGCAGTGACTGCCCCTGCAGTGATCATCCTCTTCCAAGTCACTGTCTCACACCCCCCGCGCCCCAGTGACCGTCCTCCCACCCTGAACCAGCTGCCTTCTGCCTGGCCTGCCCCTAGTGTCCCCTCTGGAATGGGAGGATGAGATTCTGGACCCCTAATCCTATGGACCTTGGCACTTTGGCTCTAGGAACCCCTGCCCTTCCACCTCAGGAAAGCCCCAGAGCCTGGCCATCAATGGCCTGTGGTCCCCTTGGGCCCAGAGGCTGTCACTGTCACTCTGAGTAGACACCTCGTAGGACCCCATCAAACCCCATCTGCAGGTGGGGTTTAACCCCCTTTCCCAGGGCTGGGTGAGGATCTGGAAATCGCCCTGTCCCATCCCCCCTCCCACCCCACCCCAGGTGAATCCCTACTCCCACCAGCTGCTTCCTTAACTCCTCCCCGTCCTGCGCACCCATTAACCCTTTTTCTCCTGCAGCACTGTCGCTTGTACTGGAGCTGGGGCTCTGGCCCACCCTGCACTGTCCCCTCAGCTCTCAGGTTTCCGCATCTGCACTTGGTGTGGGCATCATGCCGTGTGTGTCCCCTGCATCCTCTTCTCTGCTCTCTGACTTCTGCGCTCTTCCCCCACCCAGCCTGTCCGTCTCTGCTTCCACCGGCAGCCCCTCCTTACCTCGCACTTGCTGCCCAAGCACCGGATGGCTAGTAGCGACCTCAGGCCCTTTCTTCCCTCAAAGCCACCTGTGGAGACTTGAGGGATGAAAGGGGACCGAGGAGCACCAGCCTCTGGGCCTGGCTGTCAGTTTGGTCTGCGCGCTTGTCCTGGGCTCCGGGGCCAGCAGGCAGGGTGAGGGCAACAGCCCCCCAGCACAGGAGCAGGACAGGGCACCGGAGGTCCAGGTTCCTGCATCTCGGGCACACACCATGTGCCGGGCCTTCATTTGTCTTCAGCTGAGTGTGGCAGGTGTCCTGATTTCAGTTAGCCCCAGTCCTTCCCAGAAAGATACAGGCACAGAGTGAGGTCACTTAGCAAAGCCACATGGCCACCAGCTCCTCGGGCCTGGGCTGAGTGTAGACCACTGGGTGGGCAGGTGTCTGTGCTCCCATTCTAGATTCTTATGTGGGCAATGGGCTCAACTCGGTGCCTGGCACACACAGTGCTCCATAAATTGGAGCCACCACTGAGGTCCTAAGAGCGGAGGCCCCAGGCCCAGGGAGCTAACTCTCCCACCAGAGTCGGACCTATGGGCAGGGTTCATGGTGGGCACTCCAGGGCCAGCTGTCAGGGCAGCCAGAGTCTAGTGCGGAGGTCTTGGAGGGTGTGAACTGGTTGGCTCCTTGTGGGACTGAGTGTCCTGAACCATTCCCCAGCTCTAGAGGTCTCCCCAGGCCTTTGCCTACTGTAGCAGTCTCCTGATCCCCTCCCACCCGGCTTCTCAAGCCAGGCAGAACCAGCCCTCCCTCACCCAGGAGGTGACTGCTCTGAATGGGGAAGGTCGTCATCCCAGGAGGGGCACCTGGCCTATCCTGGGGTATGTGGGATGGGCAAGCGGTAGAAGGAAATCAAGGCCCACCTCCATTCCCATGGAGCCTCCTGGGGACAGCTGGGCTTTGGCCATGTCTCTTGAGCATGACCACACACACACAGCCTTGCCTGGAACTGGTCACAGGCACACTGCTTATGGTTTCCAGTCCAGGAACACACTTTCATGGACATGAGCATGCACACACCAGGCACACCCACTTACCCTATGGTGTCCACAGACCTGCCCCTGCACTGCTGTGTACACGCCCCCACAGACACAAACACAGAGCCAATGGGTGCCCTCTCCACAACCTGGCCCTGCTCACCCACCTGCCCACTGTTCAGCCAACCCCTGCCCCCGCACATAACTAACAGAGGCCCTGGTGCTGTGACCCAGCAGTACGGAGGAGGTGCTGTCCCTGGAAGAGAAAGACCTGAGGGACCGGGAGAGGCGTATGGCCAATAACGCGCGGGAGCGGGTGCGTGTGCGGGACATTAACGAGGCCTTCCGGGAGCTGGGGCGCATGTGCCAGATGCACCTCAAGTCGGACAAGGCGCAGACCAAACTGCTCATCCTGCAGCAGGCCGTGCAGGTCATCCTGGGCCTGGAGCAGCAGGTGCGAGGTAGGCGCCCAGGCTAGGAGTCCCCACCCTATCCCCTTCCCACCTGCATGCCAATGGTGCTTCACTGGAGACAGGTGTGCGCTAGCTCCTGGGCTCCGTCCACATCTCAGACTCTGATGTCCCCCAGAACACCCAACCTGTTCTTTATAATTTACAACGCCCCAGCCCTGTACGGCCTTCTCAGGGAATGGGAGGAGAAGTCAAGAAATGGAGGCAGCCACATATGTGAGGGCCTTTGCCTCTCCCTCTGGCGCTCTGCCAGGCTCCCCACACCCCTGCCACCTCATGTTCTCCCTCTCTGGGGATCATCTCCCACAGTGCTCTCCCTCTACCACCAGAACGTAACCTCAACCCCAAAGCAGCGTGCTTGAAGCGACGAGAAGAGGAGAAGGTGTCAGGCGTGGTTGGAGACCCCCAGATGGTGCTTTCAGCAGCCCACCCGGGCCTGAGTGAGGCCCACAACCCTGCTGGGCATATGTGAAAGGTACGCCTCCGTGGGATAAGTGACCTGACCTCAGTCTAACCTGGAATGGTCACACAGCGTGCCGGGTCCATCTCAACGTGGGCTGGCCAGTCCACACCTCACTTACACCTGTGGTCAGCGTTGAGCCAACACCAGCCTAAGGAGGCTTCAAGTGATGGGGGCCCTAGAGGTGACAGTGGGGTCCAGGAGCCTCCTGGGGACCCTGCTGTCCCCACCCCCAGGCCTCAGCTACCCCCACATGCTGGGACTTGCCTGATGGATCCTGAAATTGCATCTCAGCCTTGCTACACAAGCCCTGGCTGGAAGGAGCTTTCTTTTTCTTTTTTGGTAAAAACTGGAACACAAACAAGAAATATACACTTCATCAGAAAAAAAAAAATGCCTTAAGTATAAAACATGGAAAAGTTAAAACATATCACTTGTTGGAGAGAGATGCTGTGAAAAACTGGCTTGTTCTTCAGAAGCCACCAGCAAATTGTGCCTATGCCTGATTTTTTTTTTTTAAGGAAAATAAAAACGCTAGTTATGAAATTTTTTTTTTTAATGTAGAAGAAAATTAGCAAGGAGGATGCCTTTGTTTTTTTTTGCATATGTTTTGTAAGCAACAAATGTTTTGTATAAAAGTTTCGTGTCTCTTGTATTTCTGCTGCTGTTTCTAAAACTGAGCATTACATTTCACGATCAACCAGATTAAAAGTTATATTTAAAAGACCCCCACTGTAAACCTAAGGTCCCCCTCCCCTGTCCCAGGAGCCCAGCCATGGGCCACAGGGAGAACAGGTACAGGTGGGTCTCATTTCTTTAGATGTTTGGGTTTTGCTTTCTTGCTTTGGAGTAAAGTGGGCCTTTCCCCGATGGGGGCCTCCACACCCCATCCTCTCTCCCTCCAGGAGAGAGACACTGGTCTCCCGGGAGGGGCAGAGGCACAACTGAGGTGCTACCCTCCCAGGTGAAAATGCCAAAGGTCCTCCTTCAGGTGTCACTCTGGACCCCAGGCACCTCCCCACATCTTCCCTGGAGCCCACAGTCCTCCAAAGTGGGGAGTTGTGTTACCCACATTCCAGGGCAGGAAGACTGCACTGTTGGAGCACGATGCTGTGGGTCTTCCCAGGCTCCGTGTCCTTCATTCCTTTGACCTGGGGACCCAAGCCCATCTCTGCACTCTCGCAGTGGGGCAGTAGCTCGAGGCCAGCCTAGAAAACTCACACCCCCTGCCCATTCCACCAAGTGGCTGTCCTGGTGTGGAGGGGCCAAAGACAGGCATGGACAGAGCAGGGAGAAGGTACAGGGTCCTTATGCCCAGAAAAGCCCCAAGGCTATGCACCTGCCGAAATTACTGTCCAGCTGCAAAACTAGGGGGGCCCCCTCAGGCTTGTGTGCCCGGTGTCCCAGGTCTCCCCAAGTGCCCTCTGGTCTTCCATGTCACGAGGAGGACTATGTCATCCCACGCTGCCCAGGACTGTCCCATGTTTACACTGACCATCTGCATCCCTGGACCTCCTACAGTTCCCAGGGAAACTGGAATGGTTGGTCACCCTACATGTCACCCAGCTATAGGCTCAGGCCTACTGGGGTCTTGGTTTCCTTACCTTTATCCCCCTCCTCCAAAAAAAGAAGCCTTAAGGACCCCCAGGCTGGCTGCATTCACCTCACCAATATCAGTCTCTCCCCAAGACTCCACCCCTCACTCCCCAACTTCCAGGGCCACCTGACCCCCACCCCAACTATAACACCCCGAGGCTGGGAGCAGAGTGCCCTGCGGGAAGCTCCAGGGAATCCCATGGCCTGCACCAGGCAGGACATCGGGCTTGAGACTGGGGCCACCTCCTGACCTCTGACATCACCTAGGTCCTCCCCTGGGGTCTTCCTTCCAAAGCCCATCAGGACAGCAAAGAGCCATCAGCGTGCAGGGTGGGGGTGGACTCTGCCTGGTGACTCCCCTGGTCTATTGGTTCCTGTCTCTTGGGGAACCTGCCTTGGTTTCCCTCTTATTCTGCTTTTGGTCTTGCCCCTTGATCCAGTCAGGCAGGAGCTGAGGGCCCTAGTCCCCTGGAAGTCTGCAGACTTTTGAGCTGCGGCTTACATGTAGAATTTAAATTATGTAAAATGAGATGAACCCAGTAGGGGAAGAAGTAGCACTGGGGGAGGGGAAAACCACAGTTAAGGGGGATTGTGCTCTGAGTGCCTCAAAATAACTTGTTTTTGTTTAAATTTTTTTTTTTTAAGAAAAATAATTTTATACAAGTGTCCACACAGCTGGCTGGATTCTTTGGAAGTTTTAAATGACCCCCTTTAAAGTCAATATGGAGACCTGTCCTGTACATAACAGCACTGTAGCAATAAATGTGACATATGACAATGCTCAGCTGTCTCCCAATTTCTCAGCAGCTGTGTGCTTAAGCAGTGAAGGGGGGGGGGGGGGGGCGGGCAGGAAAGTGGGAACCTGCAACCAAGGTATGTGCTCTTGTCCAGGAATCTAACCCTCAACCCTTTGGTCTGCAGGCTGGCACTCTAACCACTGAGCAAACCGGCCAGGGTACTCGCTGCCTATTGATTTTTTAAATAAATAAAGCAATACACCCAAACCCATGGAATTGTGTGCATTAAATGGGTGAATGGCACGGTTTGTGAATTATATTTCAACAAAGGTATTTAAAAATACATCATAGCCCAGCTGGTGTCGCTCAATGATTGGGTGTCAACCCATGAACCAGGAGGTCAGGGTACCATTTCTGGTCAGGGCACATGCCTCGGCTGTGGGCTCAGTCCCCAGTAGGGGGCATGCAGGAGGCAGCTGATAGATGATTCTCATTGATGTTTCTATCTCCCTTTCCCTCTCTCTGAAATCAATAAAAACATTTTTTTAAAAATACATCTTAAAGGTGCCTAAATCCTCACCAAGTGAGGCGTTCCTTCTCGGTCCCAGCAAAGGTTGGCTCCGTGGAAATTTCTGGAAGGAGAGTCTGCTTAGTTCAGAGAAATCCTGTGGGCAGGGGATGGGGTACAGGGAAACAGAATGATGGGTATGTCCATGTCTTGACAATAGTGATGTCAGTGTGTGGTTCACTAGATGCCTGTTGCACACCTTCATCTGGCAGCCCTTCCAGTTCACAGGAGGCAGCCACACGGCCAGGGCCTGATGAGAACCCGCTGAGTCTGGCCTCCGGGAGCAGCCCTGTCACTCTAGGGCCAGGGAGGAAAGGGATGTGCCAGACTAACCCTTTGAGTGCCAACCAATATCCTAGGAACTATGCTAAAATTGCCAAGGCATTTTTGCTGATTTTACAGCAGTTTAGGGAAAAAATTAGGAATTGCAAGTAAATGAAATTACATATTCAAAAACTTAAGGGAACCTTTTGAGCTCAGCATGTCAGCATTTTGAAAAACCCTAACTTAACTCCGGTGCCGTGTCACATAGAAATTTTTTGATATTTGCAACCACAGTAAAACAAAGACATATTTTTGATATTTATTTTATATATTTAAATGCCATTTAACAAAGAAAAATCAACCAAAAAAATGAGTTCACATGTTGCACGCGTGTCAGAGGTTCGCCATCACTGCTTTACTATATTGACATATTTAGCAATATCATCATCACTAGTAAAAGCAGACTTAGAACTGGACGTCACTTCAAAGCTTTGATAGCGCTCCCGGCACTTGTGGCGAAAGACAGGAGGAGCGCGATCGGCACTCTCGGGGCTGAGATAGGGAGACCCATCCCACGCGATGGTGGGTGTCCTCAGAGGTCATACTGTGCTGCAGCAGCTGATGGTAGCACGTGAGCAGGGCCTTACAGGCAGACCTTGGAAATATGGTGGGTTCAGTTCCAGACCACCGCAAGGAAGCAAGCTATAACCATTTTGCTGGTGGAGGGTCTTGCCTTCAGTTTGTAAAAAATGCCCTGTCTGGTGGCTACATGCCCTTCTGAGGTGCAGAAGCCTCTGAAGCCCCGCAGAGCCTGCCCAGAGATCAAGAAGACATGAGATGATGTGAGCACCACTGAGAAAGGAAGAGAGTCCTGTGGACACCTAATGCACGAGAACTCTGGGGTTTCAGGGGAAATGCTGGTATGCTCTGAATGAATGATTCCTGAAAAATGGAGATGATTTCCCAGAGGAAATGAGGAAATTAAAACTTAGGACCCAGGAGTAAATTCAACATAAAATAAATACTAAGAAAAGAAGAAGAAAAAAAGAATGATTAATAATTTGGGGAATTCCCTGGTCAAACAAAATACACAACATCTGTGAAGTGCAATCAAGTGAGGACTTAGTGCA